CTTCGGTGGCGCCAGGGGGCGCCGAAGCGGGGAGGCGAGGCCGGAGGGAGGGAGGAGGCAGAGCGTCGATCCCGTGGAAAAGAAGGCCTGGATGAGGCGGGGGAGGAAAACCTCCTCCTCCTCTACCTCCTCCACCTCCTCCACCTCCACCTCCACCTCCTCCGCCTCCTCCTCCTCCTCCTCCTCCTCCTCCTCCTCCAATGAGGACGCGGAGGAAGAGAAGAGAACACATGCGGATGACGCTTAAGACGTACGTGAAAACCGTCGCGCCGGACAGCGTACTCGAATCCACTCTGCAGTAACGATGAGGAGATGCGGAATGCTGCAGCGGGAAACCTGGGACCTGGCAGCCATGCTCCCAGGAGGACAAGTAAAGCCTGGCTTGAGTAGGCGATAGCGTGGACATCATATATATATATATGTCCTCAGTATCCTCATTCTACTCGATACTCCTCTTTCTCCTCCTCATTATCGTTTTGTGGTGCGTTCTCCAGGACTCCGATTGTGAGGATGTCAAATAGAAGCCTTTTGTTGGGCTTTCCAAAGGATTCCTGATGTACGGCGTTCCAATCGAATCCTTGTGTGGTCATTTCCTAAAGATTTCCTGTTGTGAGGCTTTCCAATGGAATCCGTTTGTCGTCATTTCGACAGATTCCGATTGCGAGGATTTCCCATAAAATCCCTTTGTGTTGCTTTCCAACGGGTTCCTGTTGTGAGTCTCTCCAAAAAGAATCCCTCTGTGATGCTTTCAAAAGGATTCTTTTTGCGAGGCATTCCACTGGAGTCCCTTTGTCGAGCATTTCAACAAATTCCTGTTGTGAGGCTTTTTCATAGAAATCCGTTGTGGTGCTTTCGAGAGTACTCCTATTGTGAAACTTTGCCAAGCACTCAGTCCAACTTCAGTTGCACTTCCATTCCCTCCTCTTCTCGTTTTACCTCCTCTCTTTTTTTTCTTTCTCTCTCTCTCTCTCTCACGCAATCGGAGTCCATTGAAAGCCTCACAACAGGAACCCTTCGGAAAGCACCACCAAGGGATTCCATTGGAAAGCCTCACAACAAGAATCCTTTGGAAACGATCGCAAAGGGATTCTATGGGAAAGCCTCACAACAGGAATCCTTTGGAAAGTACCACAAACGGATGCGATTACAAAGCCCCACAACAGGAATCTCTTGTGAGCCTCACCGCGAAGGTATTCCGATTGTGAGGCTTTCCAATAGAAACCATGTGTGGAGCTTTCCAGCGGACTACCTTTGTGACGCTTTCGAATAGGAGCCCTTTTGTAGCACTTTCCATAGGGTTCTCGTTGTGAGCTTTTCCAGCCGAATAAGTGTTACGTTGCTGTCCAACGTATTCCTGTTGTGAGGCTTTCACATAGAAGCCCTTTGTGGTGCTTTCCAAAGGGTTCCGGTTGCCAGGGTTCCCAATCGAGCACATTGTGTAGCGCTTTCCAAAAGACTCCTGTTGTGAGTCTTCCCAGTCGAATCCCTTTGCCGTGTTTTCCAAAGGATTCCCTCTGTGACGCTTTCCACTGTACTCCCTTTGCTGTGCTTCCCAAAGAATTCATATTCATTGTGAGAGAGAAAGAGAAAGAGAAAGAGAGAGAGAAAGAGAGAGAGAGATGGAGAGAAAACAAAAACAATAGAGAGAACAAAGAGAGAGAGAGAGCGTGATAGAGAGAGAGGGAGAAGGGGGGAAGGGAACACCTGACCCTCGGTTCAAGGCCAGGTGTCCTCACCCTCGGTTCAGGGAAACGCTGTGTATGTTTGTGTGTTCTGTTTTCTTTTGGGTCTGGGATGCAAGAGAGCGTTGTGTATGATTGGTTGTGCTGGTCTTCTTGCTTTTGCAGGCTGAGAGAGAGGTGCTGCGAGGGGGACCGCGGCGAGCACTGAGGCCTGCAAAACCAAACCAACCACACAGCACAAAAAACGCAGTGCTTCGTGGTTTCACACCCACCCCCAACAAAACAAACAGTGTTTCCTTGCACCAAGGGCGCCAATTACTGCGTATTAGTTTTGTATACAAAAGAAAAAGAAATATGTTTTGTCTGGGAGGCGCAGGGAAGGGTGCTGGAACGGGGGCCGCGGCGAGCACTGGGGCCTGCAAAACCAAAACACCCAAACCAACAGCATACACAATGTTCCCTTGCACCACAAGCCAAAACATCAAAACAACGGAACAACAAAAACAGTGTGTCCTTGCACTGAGGGCGCCAAGCGAGCGCAGTCTGGTCTTGGTACTGCATTGCGAAAAGAGGAGGAGAAGGAGGAGGAGGAGGAGGGAAAGGAGGAGGAGGAGGAGGAGGAGGAGGAAGGAGAGGAGGAGCAGGAGCAGGAGCACGAGCAGGAGCAGGAGCAGGAGCACCGTAGTCATTTTGGCCCAAGCCTTGGCTCAAGCCGCTTCACCCCCAACGTCTCGGCTCGATGCGCTCAGCTCATGGTGCCGGCTGCTGGGAGTTCGCTTCGCGTGGCCGCGGGACCCGCCCCGGGAGCGTGGCGAGGAGCAGTAGGCAGCGCGGCAGCCAGTCGGCAGCGGCGCGTGCGGGCCGCGGGGCCAGCCGAGAACCGAGTGAAGAGGCTCATGGAGGAGAAGACCGTGTTAGAGCAGTCCTTGGTCTGGAGCTGAAGGTTTGCAGGAGTGAAGATCCCGAGGTCCAGCGCAGGGTGGACGCAATCGTGCCCTACCTGGAGGAGGAAGTGGCTGCCAGACTCCGCGGTGTCACTGCTGTGCTGCTGTGTCACTCGCGGCTCGAGGCGATCATGCGGAATGTGGCCATGCAAGTGTTCGGCGTGCCCATGGCCCAGCTGGTTGACCTCACTTTCAGGCAGCTCAACGGGGTTCAGCGCCGTGCCCGCGGAAGGGCTAGGCGGGACAAAGGTGCTGACGATGTGGTGCCCGCGACGCCGACGCCTACGGGGAACTCGCCATGGTGCGGCTTCATGTGCACCTGTGGCACCACTGTCTTCGCGAACGCAGGGGCGGAGGTGGTGAGCGAGGCCGACATCATCACGGCGGCGGGAACGTGGACGCCCGACCCGACCGCCCCGCCCTTCGCTCCCCTCGAGCAACTGCACGGGCACACCGGGAGCCTCGGCATCCAAGGGCGGCAGAGGCACCAGCCGCTCGCGAAGCGCCGACGGCTCTGCGACGCAGCTGCAACGGTGGACGCGAAGGCCGGCAGTGCCATAGGGCCCCTGGGGGGGATGGCTGCCCCTCCAACAGCCGCGGCGGCAGCCTGCTGCGCTGAAGGGCCCCGTGGGGGGGACGACTGCCCTGCCGGAGGGGCGCGGCGGCGGCCCGCGAGGGGCGGCGGCGGTGCCGCGCGGGGCTCGACGAGGAGGCGGCCTTCATGCAGGGCGCGGAGGCGCACACAGCCGCGCAGACGGCGCAAGGGGAACAGATCGTCGGCGGGTCTCCGCGGGGCCTCGGTGCTGCCATGTGCGCGGCTGGAGCTGAGGTTGGTGCATCATCGCGCTGATGGCCGTCCCCTGCCTTAACGTCTGATGGGGCCCCTTCGCCCATTGAAGGGCCATGCCCCTATGATCGCTCCAGGAGGAGCATGAGCATGAGGAGGAGCAGGAAGAGAAAGGAGGAGGGAAAGAGGCGGAGGAGAAAAAAGAGAACGGACAACGAGAAAATATAGAGAAGCAAACAGGGGTATGATCACAGGGGGCGACCACCTATGCATATACACATCTATATACATACATACATGTATATACCGACATATTAGAACCACGCGCGCTTCGCGCGCGCTTAGGTTCTAACAATCACCCGTTCCTGACAAGTTCGCAACTGTATGAACGTACGCACATACCCAAACATGAAATGACCAGATACGAAGAAGAAACACGAGGGCGGACAGAGCCTGACCGTCAGAGGTACGCCTGGGCATCTTCAGCGCGACGGATGGCAGAGCAATGCAAAGTCGCGAAATAAAGTTGGTCCATTGCATTGGAAGGAACGTGACGAAATGCAAATCAGTGCAAAGTCGCGAAATGAATTGGGTTCATTGCGTTGAAATGGAATGCGAGACGCATTGTCACATAAAACGAAAGTCAAAAAATCCGCCGGAACGCAAAGAATAGCAAAAGCTGTTCAAATAACAGTTAGGAAAGAAACTGCACGGCAATGCAAGCCAATGCAACTCAAGAAAAAGCTGAGCAAGGTGAAGGAATGCGTTGCGAAGCATCAGCCAGCAGAACACATGCAATGCAAATGGAAACACTGCGATGAAAACGCATGAAATTGAAATAAACTCGACAAGCCAGGGAACGTGGAGTTCGGATAGCGCAGGGACGGGGAATCCGGCGAAAGAGCCAAGGGAATCTGGGCTGGAGATCGTTGGAGCCTGTTCCTTTATTCGCGGCGATAGCGAGCGTTATGGGGGGGGGGCGGGGGGGGGCATAACGTAACGCTCCCCCCCAAGCAGTGTGGTTCCGGCACCACCACAGCGTCCGCGCGCACGACAACGACGAGCGACGAGCGACGAGCGACGAGCGACGATGATGACAACGACGACGATGACGACGACGACCGACGACGAAGACGACGGAAGCATCTTGGAGGTTTCTTGGGACGTCTCCGGGGGCCGTTTCCGGGCGATCTTAGGGATCTCCACTTCCCCAGCAGGGCTCCCGAAGCCCTCCGGTCTCCCAATGGAGAGTCGGGGCACCTGTTTGGGGGCCGCGGACTTGTATGTATATCTATATTTAAAGATATCTATATAAATATATACACATAAATGTGTGGACGCATAAACATGAACACACACAAATAGATGTATACATGTCTATATATATATATACACATGCATTGGGCCATTTAGAATACGTAGGCGAATGATGTAATTCATAAAACAATATATGAATGCTTACGTGACTACACGTACAAACAATAACATCAAACAATACACGAGTATATACTTACATGAATGGAGAACGCATATCAAGAAACGAACATCTACATGCATTCATGAACAAATATACGCATCTGTATGTAT